ATAGTATTTGACTGCAGGTGTACTGAAATATTTACCACTTATGCTCTTTCAGCCTAATAATAATCACTATTGGCTTTTAGTAGCCTTGTATAAAACTAAAATGCAAGAATCACTGGTTCTCAGTGATAAGAGAATGAGTGGGATAATAATAAGAATGAGTGAGCGTATATTTTCCTCTACTGTTTTATGAGGAGGGATATTTACATGTATTTGTACGTGCTGCCAATAGTAGTTGATGGTATCAGTTTTGGTATCACAGTTGATGTTATCAGAGCAGAATTGTTTTGCAAGAGTCTCACAAACTCTCACAATTAACAACAATAACAGAAACATTAAAACAAAGATTGACAAACAGGGAAGAGAAATCCTTCAATTAATGAAAGGATTTATTTTATTATTTATTATTATTCGAATTTCTATACCGCCCTTCTCCTTTCGGACTCAGGGCGGTGAACAGCCAAAATAAAAAAACATTTATACATAAATACAATTAAAAATAGATTTAAAATAATTAAATTTGGCCCATAGTTTACAATTTATCAATTTAAAATCCATATCAAAATTTAAAACCAACCATTAAATCAAGAGAGACCGGCTAACTGAAAAAGATGAGTTTTTAGGGCCCGACGAAAGGATGAAAATATTTCTAACTTAAATGAATAATTAAAGGATCAATGTTTAAATAAAAGAAACCAGCCCTGGGACATTTTCTCTGCATATGTATTTTGATCTACAATATTTTTATATTAATCTTCCTTTTTTTTTTTATCTTTTTAAAATTTAGCTCCATCCTTTTCTGAGACATGTTACATTTAACAACAGTCTTGGGGACAAGATAATCTTTGACCAAGATGGAAAGTTAGTGGATGGGTTTGATATAATCAATTTTATTCTTTCTGAAAACCAGTCAAAAGTGAAAATTGGAAGGATAGACCCTCAGTCTCCTGCACACCAAACATTCATTATTGACAAAGATGCCATAACATGGAACAGCTGGTTTAACCAGGTAGGTTGCAGGAACACACAATCTGAGAAATTTCTAATCTGAATAGGAGCACTGAAATTAATTGTTAAGTAGGGCAATCATATCATTATTAGCTATGGCATTTTTGCATCTTAATTTTTCACTCACTCACTCAATCAATCAATTAGAATAGAGCTAGAAGGTACCTAGGAGGTCTTCTAGTCTACCCCTCTACCCAAGCAGGAGACTCTAAACCATTTCAGAGAAGTGACTATCCAGTCTCTTCTTAAAAACCTCCAGTGATGAAGGACCCACAACTACTGAAGGCAAGTTGTTCCTCTGGTTTATTATTCTCACTGTTAGGAAGTTTCTCTTTAATTCCAGGTTGCTTCTCTCCTTCATTAGTTTTCATCCATTGTTTCTTTTTCCACCTGAATATCTTGTTTCTGTTATTATTCTTGAAAATTGGAAATGTGTAGGATTTTGTTGTCTAATGTATTGCACACATGTTACATGGTTACTATATTTTGGAACAATATAAAATACTTGTAAGGATAATTAATGATACTGATTAAGCAGCTCATTATTTGACAAACAAAGGTGTGTTATGGACTTTCATGGCCATGAAAGTATCTATTGGGAAGGAAGCAGTTTTCTGATTTGCCTATTTTGGGGAACAGATTCCTGGCTGGGCAAGACCTTGGGTAGGTTGTTGATATTGTCCAGAGCAGGTAACTTGACTTTGTTAAATTTCAGACTTTCTTTTTTCTTGTTAATACTATTGGGATATGTATGTAGCAGACCACTTTGCCTCTGAACATGCCAGCCACATTCACTAATGACATGTGTTCCCTAGACTATGGTGACTAAATGCTCCAGCCCAACATTTCCCAAAGCTTGTAACTTTGTTCAGTTTGAATATGACAGTATCAGTGGTGGGTTGCTCCTGGTTCGCACCAGTTCCCAAGAACCAGTAGTAAAAAAATTTAGTTGTTCGGAGAACCAGTAATAAGATTGGCTGGCCATGCCCCTGAACCAGTTCCAGGCCCAGTCGCCGCTCGCTTACCCCGCCCATCGTCATTGCCTGCATGCAGCCCTGGAACTCCACCCTTTACCAGCCAGGAGTGCTGCCGCCAGTCGCTCCCATGCACCTGGCTGCCTGCCTGCCTCATCATCGCCACCATGAGAAAAGGCCCCGAAGTTGCGCTGCCTGGGATCCACGTGGGCTGCCGCAGGTTGAAGCCAGGCATGGCTAGCTGGACACTGCCCAGAGCTGAGCTCAAGGCTGGCAGGAGGAGGAACATTGCCTCTTAGCCGGCTCGAACTGTCTGCTGCCAAAGCCTGCCGCCATCCCCTCTCTCCTGCCAGCTGCTCCTGCCATTGCCAGGGAAGCGGCTGTGCAAGAACTGCTGCCGCCAAGGGCGAGGGGTGGTGGTGGCAAGGATGGGCCATCAGGGGCTTCCTTGTCTCCCCGCCAGAGCAGACTTCTGGCATAGCTCCAGGCCTCTGGAGGGAGGGAGGGAGGGAGGGAAGCCCTGGCCTGCTGCTCCTGCCTCCGCCACCCCCTTGTCCCCAGAAAGAGCGGTTCTTGTGCTGCCACTTCTCTGGCAGCACCAGGAGCAACTGCTGGGGCAGAGAGGGTGGGCCAGGCTGTGGTGGCAGGCCATTTTCGCCGGGTAACAGACAGGCTGCTCCTGGAGAAGGCAGGAGAAGGAGAAGCCACCAGCGGGGAGGTGAGCTGCCCAGGAGGACTGGAGTGGAGCACAGCTCCTCACTCATGGAAATCCACCAGCACGGAAGTGGTTGCGGAAAGCGGTAAGAAATGCGCAAGCCAGGAAGCGGTCATGCTCCCTGGCAGGAGAGGATTGCATGTTCACTCCAGCAAAGGTTTGTGCAACTCTCTCCGCCCAGGAGCATGAATGCTTCCTGGCCAGCACACCTCTTACCATGCCCACTTCCCCACTGGTAGATCTCCATGAGTAAGAAGCTGCACTCTCCTCCGGTCCTTCTGGGGCAGCTCGCCGCCCCACTGGCAGCTTCTCCTTCTCCTGGCTGCTCCAGGTGAGAACCTGGTGAGAACGGCCTGCCACCACACTCTGCCAACAGAAGTCAGAAAGGAAAAGGCAGTTGCTTTTCTGAGTGTTTCTCCGCGTTTCGAGTGAGGGTGGCTGACTTGGGATGGAAATTCCTCTCTGACTTCTGTTGGCAGAGAAAAGGAAGAGACGGAAGTGGCGGTGGCAGCGGAAGGCAAGGGGCCGATCGTGTAGCTCACTTCAGTGCCGCCAAACACACACACACCTTCGAAGCCTTCGAGAGGCTTCAGAGGCCAAGGCTTTTTTTTTCTTTTCCCCCTCCTGCATCACCTCAAGGGCTTGGTGGCATGGAGGACACCACCTCTCAATGTTTGGGGAGGGAAATGGGATGCATTAAAGAAAGGTAAAAGGGAAGCGGGGTGGGGTGGGATTTGTTCCCCCCCCTCACGATCCTCTTCCAAGTGCAGATGGTTCCTCCTTTAATACCTGGTCCTGCACTTGACCTGGCTGGACAGCGCCCCCCTCCCCAGTGCCCTCCCGCCTATCCTTCCTTCTCCTGACAGGCTTTGGAGACCAAAGGTCCAGAGGGGGGGGGGGGCTTTGTTGCTCAGGCCGAGAAGCCGAGAGAGAGAGCCACCTTTGCTGACTAAGGAACTCTGGGAGTTGAAGTCCACAAGACTAAAAGTTGCCAAGGTTGGTGACCCCTGCCCTAGACCACTTTAGGAGCAAAGTGGTGGATTTTGCTGGCATTTCAGGAGGAAGGGGAGGGAAGGAGGGAGAGAGAGAGAGAGAGAGAGAAATAGAAAAAGAGACAAAGAAAGAGAAAGAAGGAGAGAGAAAGAAAAGAGAGAGACAAAGAGAGAGAAAGAGACAAAGTGAGAGAAAGAAAGAAAGAAAGAAAGAAAGAAAGAAAGAAAGAAAAGAAAGGAGAGAGAGAGAAAAGAGAGAGAAAGAAAAAGAAAGACAAAGAAAGGAAGCGAGAGAGAGAAAAGAGAGAGAGAGAAAGAGAGAAGAGGAAGGAAGAGGAAGGAAGGGGGGATGGAGAGAGAGGGAGAGAGAGAGAAGAGGAAGGAAGGACCACAAATCCTGGCACTAGATGTGGCTTCAGAAGACACATTGAAACAGGACAGCAATCTAGGGCTGGAAGGGACCTTAGAGGCCATCTAGTCCAATCCCCTTCTCCAGCAGGAAACCTTACATCATCTGGATTATTTTAGTGCCTCTAACAGAGAGGAAAATTGCCAGAAAGGAAAAGGAGTTTACTAGAACAAGGCTGCCATGCAGAGGAAGGCAGAGATAGTCCTTGATTTATGACCAGAATCGAGTCCAAAATTTTGGTTGCTAAGCAAGAGCGTTGTTAAGTGAGTTTCACCACATTTTACTCAATCCATGATCTCTCCTGGCTCTAACAGTCATATGCAGGCTAGGAAAGTAAATCTGAAGGCCTGTGTAATGTTCTAATGTACAGAAGTTATAGTTAAATGTATGACAGAAAGTGGACTCTGGGTGTGTTTTTCCAAATGTAGTAAGTGAGGTTGAACGTGTATAGTTTTAGAAGAGGGGTGTGTGTGTGTGTGCACATACACACAGTATATATAGTAGATAATGTTTCTTTTTGTGTGCTTATACACACTATACTATGTAATATATATGTACACATATTTTGGATGCTCAGTAGTAGTAAAAATTGTACAATTGGGAAATTGTATCTTGTTGAGAACTTTGAGGTGAGGAGAGGCCAGGCACCCTAACCCTAACCTTTGACGTGAGTGACATCAAGTTGGCCACACCCACCTAGTCACATGACCACCAAGCCACGCCCACCCTGTCACATGACCATCAAGCCATGCCCACCAAACAAGCCATGCCCACAGAACCAGTAGTAAAAAAAATTAGAACCCACCCCTGGACAGTATGCTGGAAAACTATGCATTTATTAAACATGCTAGAGAGAACAATTACAGCTGAGAATTAAAGTACTGAAAAAATTTAACACTCTTTTATGTTTGTTTTGGTTTGTGAATTAGACTGCTCCTGTTTCCCTATGTACACCTCACTGTAATCCAGGTTCTAGGAAGCAAGTAATGGAAGGGAGGCCATTTTGCTGCTACTCTTGCATCTCATGTCCCAAAGGGAAGATTGCAGAAAAGAAAGGTGAAGATAATATTGTTTTTCAGTTCCTTAGTTGTTTTCAAATCTTCATGAGCTGATGAATATCATTTTGTAAGAACTACCTGCAAATATAAAAATATTTTATATTTTTATAATATAGAATAATATAGAAACGCAGTTTCTTCTGTGTCTCACTTGTTGATTATTATCCATTTTTTCCAAATATCAAGGCCTACTTCAAAGATTCTTGCCTTCCTATTATCTGCCCAAATATTTTTCTTTATCTTTGTTTTTGCACTAGACTGAGCAGTCTGGTTTTACTTTGCTAGTACTGAATATATGCTTTACAATTCAAAGTTTTCTCCAGCACTACAATTCAAAATCATACATTTCTAATTGTCCACCTTTTGAAGACTTTTCCTGCACTCAGTATTATCCTTAGACTTTGAGTGATTCCCCCATTTTTTAAAAATATTTTCAATGGATGAAAAAAAAATTCTATTTACAATAGTAATTCTATTTAAAGTTCAGTCTCTAATGTATGTTAGAATTTCTTTTTCACTTTAAATATACAAGTAAATATACAAGTGAATATTGTATATGTGAAATTTTTAAAAACATAATTTTATTTATATGTTTTTCTTTAATATCCATAAGTGTTTAATGGACAGTGTATTATCTGTGTCAATATATTTTGCATACAATTCTAATAGCGATATTACCATTTGAATATACATAATCATACTTTTCCAACTTCTAACTTGTGTATACATAGTAATCATAATATTTTCTATTATATTTCAGTATGCATAATATTATTTTCCCAATTTCTACTTTCTACTTCTTTTTTCTAACACTTATTAGAATCACCACCATGTTAAAAAGTATTTTATGTCTATCCATCATCTCTTGCCCTTTTTAGAATTTCAACTCTTATTACTTTTTGATAAATCTGCCCTGCTTCTCCTCTGGTATCTTGTAACTCCTTTTGTCATTTTTATTTAATTTAAATATTTCCACTGCAATCTCTAGAGTACCCATCCTCTGTTCATCCATCATTTTTAAAGAATCTTTCTCATTATTCTCTTTTCTATTTTGAATTCTTCAAAAATATTTTATTTGTTCCATATTTGAAATTATTGCTATTTATTATATCTTTTTGTCTACCTGTATCATTTTTGAAATGATCTCTATTTTTTCCTCAACACTTTCTGCTTTTTTCTTTATTTTCTGAATTTTTTGTTCATTTTTTATGGTTGTTTGCTGGAGTTTTCTTAATCTTACTGTATCTTGCATCAATTCCATCATTTCCTTATGATTCCTTGTTATATCTTCCTTAATGCATTGAAACATCAGCATTATTTCCTTATAGACTGCATTTATTTTGTCCTGCTGAGACATTTTGTGTTGATCATTAATACACTAATCCTTGCTCAATATTCCACCAAAATTTCAATATCCCAATTGTCCAGAAATACCAAAATCAGCAGTATTAATAAAATTCACACAGTCCTGGAACTGTTCTTCAAATTGCCCTAAATTTATAGTCCTTAAAATTATCCAATTTGTATCCTCCATTTTTTCCAAATTTTAAGTCTTATTCAGTTTTTCTTTTTTCTTCTTAGTATTCCAAATTGGCCTACCAAATTTCCTCAAATACCTTTAATCAGACATGCAAGTCAGACATGCAAAACTGCACTTATATATATATATATATATATATAACTCTACTTAGGAGAATATTCTTGAGAAGCTAAATAAATTCAAATTAGAAATAAAATTAAAGAAACTTCTATCTATTATATAACTGATTTATGCAAATTGAGAACCCTCAGGGTTCAAGAATTGAATTATTTGGATTCAGGATAGATGGAACAATGTAGACGAATTCAACTGATATCCACTATAACTCATAAGCTAAAGACCACTAATTCTAGAATTTAGATGATCATGAAGATCACTATACAGCACAGTAAGAATTTCTTTATCCTTTTATCACCAATCATATTTTTTTCAGCCAGGATATAGAAACTAAAATTCCATGAATTACTATAAAGTACCTTATTAAAAAATTGTCAATATTATAAATATAGTCATATATTATGGGATTTACTGTTCATATGCAAAGATATGGATATCAATATAGTTATCAATGATAGTATTTATGTATAAATTTGATACTTAGACCAGACCCTTTCAATTACAGATTTGAATGACTGCTATAATTGTACAGAAGAAAAATATCCCAACAAAAACCAGGATTCATGTATTCCCAAGGATATAAGTTTCTTGTCTTATAAAGAACCTTTGGGAATAAGTTTAGCTTGTTTTTCTCTTTTCTGTTCCATAATCACAGTTCTCATACTAAGAATATTTCTGATGCATCACAACACTCCTATTATCAAGGCCAGCAATCGGGATCTTACCTACATGCTCCTGGTAACTCTCCTGCTCTGCTTCCTTTGTGCATTACTATTCATCGGTCAGCCAAACAAGGTGGCATGTCTTCTCCGACAAACTACTTTCAGCATCATCTTCTCTGTGGCTATTTCCTGTGTGCTGGCCAAGACTGTGACTGTGGTCCTGGCTTTCAAGGCAACAAAGCCAGGAAGTGGGATAAAGAAGTGGGTGGGGAAAAGATTGGGCTATGCTTTTGTTTTATCTGGCTTCTTAATTCAGGTAGGGATTTGCACTCTATGGTTGTCAATCTCTCCTCCTTTCCCAGATGCTGACCTGCACACAGAGGCTGAAAAAATTGTCCTACAATGTAAGGAAGGGTCCATGATTATTTTTTATTTTGCAAAGTGTTATATGGGCTTCTTGGCCATGATCAGTTTCCTAGTGGCTTTCTTTGCCAGGAAATTACCAGACACTTTTAATGAAGCCAAGTTCATCACTTTCAGCATGTTGGTCTTCTGTAGTGTTTGGCTCTCCTTTGTTCCAACCTATCTGAGCACCAAGGGGAAATACCTCGTGGCTGTGGAGATCTTCTCAATGTTAGCCTCAAGTGCTGGGCTGCTGATCTGTATCTTTTTCCCCAAATGCTATATTATTGTTCTGAGACCAGATTTGAACAACAGGCAGCTAAAAAGACAGAGGAAATGGTGAATGTTCCCAAGAATGTAGTTGTAATCTGGCATTGCAGATGAACTTGAATTTTTATGTTGGTTTACAATAGAAATGCTGCTGAATATTTTTCCTAGCATTTATATTGTTTAAGTTTTTAATGGACTATATTTCATTAGGAACACTTTCATTTTGAAGATACTTGGAAAAATAACCAGCAGGTATCTTCAAATTTTCCCCTTCCCAAAATACCTTTTTCAGTTCATAATAATATAAAGTTTTGGTAATAGCAATGGTAATCAAATTCACAGAAAATATTTTATCACAATTCGTTATTTTACAGAGCTTTCATTACAGGTGGTTCTCCAATTATGACCATTCACTTAATATTCAAAGTTACAATGTTTGTGAAAAAAAATGACTTATGACAAGTCTTCACACTTATGACTGTCATGGTTACATATTCAAAATTTGGGCATTTGGATACCACCATCTACTTATGATAGTTGCAGTGTCCCGTGTCACATGATTGTCATTTGTGACCTTCCTGTCTTCCAGCAATAGCAATAGCACTTAGACTTATATACTGCTCCATAGTATATATGTAAACCTATAGTATATATGTAGATATATGTATACATTGTAAACCACTCGCTGAGTGGTTTACAATGTCAGAATATTGCTCCCAACAATTTGGGATCTCATTTTACTGACCTCTGAAAGATGGAAATTTGACTGAACCTTGAGCTGGTCAGCATCAAACTCCTGCCTAAGGGCAGAGTTAGCCTGCAATGCTGCATTCCACCCACTGCACCACCACAGTGCAGTGTTAATGAGAAAAGCTGGAGTCACTTAATGACTACATGACTCACATAACAACCATGGTGATTTGTTTAATAAATGCAGCAAAAAGATTGTAAAATTGGGCATGCCCACTTCACAATTGCTTTGCTTAGCAGCAGAATTTCCTGGTCTAACTGTGGTCATAAGTCAAGAAATACTTGCATTCAAATTATCATTGTGTAGTATGGAAACAAACAAACTCAAATGAATCTTATATAATATACTTCATATGTATTTTGCCAACCCAAAATATGAAATTTGTTTAGAAGCTATATCCTTATGCATGAGTTAAATGAACCATATTTGATAAATATTAACACAGATATTTTAAATGTATCATTTAAATTCTAATCACAAGGCAATAATTTCCCAAATTCTTAGGAAGTGAATTGAAGTATTTAGAATGCTGGTTCTTTAATTAGCTTGCAACCTTTGTTTGTTTGTTTTGGTATAAAATGTGGAGAAATTTAGAGCAAAAATACTCTTACTTATGTAAGGAATAGAAAATACTCCTTACTTATGTAAGGAGTAGAAAATATAGGGATTTTGATCATAAGTATTGTTTTGGTCATAAGTATTGAAAAAAATCATTACATTGTAATGGGATGCTGCTGCCTTATAAGGGATTATTTGTGCCATAAAACTATCACTTTTGTCTCAAAGATTCTCAGAACTTCACCAAGAGAAAGCAATTAGGCAAAGAAGGGGAGATTTTCAGAGAAACATTATATTGTTTTGAATGTAGACTGGATCCGATAATTCTCTTTCAGAATGCCATTCCATGGTATTTCTTGTTTTGATTGGTGATCATTTATTGTATACCAAAACTCTGAAGAAACAGGCTGTTGAGAAACATTTTCATTCAGAATGGAGCAGATAATATAGGTTAATTTTTGGGGGGGGGGAGCCAAGTGGTACCTTTTCTGCTGTGTTATGATTGTAAATTGATTCTATCCTATAGGAAAATCTAGTTTTATTTATGCTATTGTGGATGTGGTCAAGGAGACAGTTTTTCATCTACTACGCATTGCAAACTATGTTAGAAAATACCTGGATTTTCTATTTGACAAATGTTCACAACCTATTTTGCTTTGCTGACCTCTGAAAAATCTTAACAAATAACTACAGCATTGGAAGAGTTAATAGACCATATGATCGTTTCTGATCATTTACCAGAGAAAGTATGCATATTTGCAATCCAGCGGCCACAATGAGTTGATATCTCTATTTGTTGTCATTCAGCATTTAAGCATTTTCTGAACTGTATACTGCAGCATCAGGAAACTTATTTTGTTAAGTCATGTTTTGGCATACCAGTAGAAGCATCAATGACAAAGTTACATATGGGTTTGGAGCATCTTGGAGAATTTGGGAGGCTGATGGAGAAAACAATAAGAAAAATTGTGCTATTTTCATCAATATGTTCTTGTGGAAGGAAGATAGTCTAAAAATAAAGGCTCTCGGTCTCTTTCTCTCTCTCTCTCTCTCTCTCTCTTTTCTCTCTCTCTCTCTCTCTCTCTCTCTCTCTCTTAAAAATAATTTTTATTAAACAGGTTTTTTAAAAAAACAAAAAAAGAGAGAAATTTTTACAATTTTCTTTTTTTTCAACATTTTCGCATCAGTAAACATTTCTTACATATCCATTTTTCTCCCTTACTTCAATTTGTCATTTATACATATGATTCTAATATTGATTTATATACATAAAGATAACAATGTACTCAATTTCAATCATACATTCCGTGTCTGTTCCATTTCCACTTGTTTGTTACTACATTTCAACTCCTGTATCTTCCTCATTTTCTCTTTCCTTGGCCTTTAAACCTCTCCTCTAACCATTCATACCATTTCTCCCATGCCATGTAGTATTCTGTTTCCTCCTTTTCTTGTATTTCTTTTGTGAGCTTGTCCATCTCTGTGCACTCCAAAACTTTTCTAATCAAATTTTCTTCCGTTGGTGTATTATTATTTTTCCAATTTTGTGCATATATTATTCTTGCCGCTGTTGTAATATGTATAATAAAATATTGTATTTTTTGTCATATATTCCTGGAAGTATTCATAACAAATATGTTTCTGGCTTCATCTCTATACGTTGTCTGGCTATCTCTTCTAAATATAGAAATATAGGGGACTGGAGGCTAAAACATATGAAGAACAGTTGCAGGAACTGGGTATGTCTAGTTTAATGAAAAGAAGGACTAGGGGAGACATGATAGCAATGTTCCAATATCTCAGGGGTTGCCACAAAGAAGAGGGGGTCAACCTATTCTCCAAAGCACCTGAAAGCAGAACAAGAAGCAATGGGTAGAAACTAATCAAGGAGAGAAGCAACTTAGAACTAGGGAGAAATTTCCTGATAATTAGAACAATTAATAAGTGGAACAACTTGCCCGCAGAAGTTGTGAATGCTCTAACACTGGAAATTTTTAAGAAAATGTTGGATAACCATTTGTCTGAAGTGGTGTAGGATTTCCTGCCTGGGCAGGGGGTTGGACTAGAAGACCTCCAAGGTCCCTTCCAACTCTGTTACTCTATTCTGTTCTGTTCTGTTCTATAGTCTAATTTTACTCAAATATTGTTTTACCTTGGGGCACATCCACTATATGTGGTAGTATGTTCCCTGACTTTGTTTACATTTCCAGCAGGTTGATGGGGTATTGGGGAACATTTTGGTCAGTCTCGACGGTGGAAGGTGCCACCTATAAAACATTTTATACATATTTTCCTTGTAGGCTACAGACATTGTCAGTTTGTAATTTTTATTCAACAATTTCTCCCATTTCTTCAATTCAATGTTATAGCCGAAATTTTTGGCCCAAATTATCAAATTCTCTTTGCCTACCTCCTCCTCCATTTTGTATCTCAATAAATAATTATAATTTTTTTTATCGATTTGTCCTCTGTGCCTTGAAGGATCTTTTCTAATTCGTCTGTTTCTTTTTGAAATCCATATTGCTCTAAATCTGTCCTGTATCTGGATTGTATCTGTGTATATGGTCACCAATGTCTGCATCCTGTTCTTTTAGTTCTTGTCTTCATTTCAGTTCCCCTTGACTATTTAATAAATCTTTATATCTTTTAATTTTGTCAATATCCAATACATTCGGGTAAATTAGTGCCTCCATTGTTGATAGCCAATATGGAATTTTATTGTAATGATTCTTTTTTATCCTTTGCCATATTTGTAGCAGCACATCTCTAATTAAATGTCTTTGGAAGTAGCTATGTTGTCTGTTTTTTCCATCCCATAAGAAGACATGCCACCCTATCTGTAAATCGTGTCCCTCTAATGTTAAATAATGTTTTTATTCCTTAATTCCGTCTCTTAAGGCACATTTGTTCACTGAAAAATCCAATGAACTAGCATTACACTAGAATACCAGAGAAAGCGGGGAAAAGTACAAAGTCTATTAAAAAAAATTCCTCTTAGAGTTTCCAGTCATTGAAATGACAATATTTCAGTCTTTGGAAACCATTTTGAAAAGCAGGTTAATTCTAGGATAATATGCATCAAGTGTCAGTTGGGAATCAAAGTCTTCATATTTGAGGTTATCATTCTTTCTACAGCCCAGTACTGGGGCCAAGGGGAATATATTTATTACTGAAGAAAATAGGAAAAAAAATCAATGAAGATTAGTAGTCATATATTATGATACCATTTGCTCATATTTTAGCAAGGATGTTGCAATATTTATAGAGCACAATTTTATTATTCACTTATAATTTTAATCTGCTAGTTACCACCAAAATAATAAGCATGTGAAAAACTTTGCTCAGGTACTCAACTAGTAGTCTTTAATGATACCACATCTACACGGAGGGAAGTAAGCAATGGAGTACCATAAGGTTCTATCTTAGGCTCAGTACTCTTCAATATCTTCATAAATGACTTATTGTAGATGAGGAAATAGAAGGGGAACTCATCAAATTTTCAAATGACACGAAGCTTGCAGAAATAGCAAATACATCAGAAAACAAGCTCAGGATCCAATTCTTTTTTCATAGACTTTAACAATGGGCCCTATCCAACAAAATGAAATTTAATGTGGAGAAAAGCAAGGGTTTTTTTTTTCCTGGGCAGGAAAAACCAAAGGTACAAGTACAGATTAGGCAAAACCTGGCTCAAAAACTAACTGTGAGAGGGACCTTGGAGTTCTAATGAACAATCACTTAAAAATGAGTCAGCAGTGTGTGACAGCAGCCAAAAAAGCTAATACAATCCTTGGCTTTTTAAACAGAGAAAGAATC